GAAGTGTTCCCCGTCTAACGATTCTTATCCATATCGATACCTATAAGTGTAATCGCGTAGGCGTAAGATAAGCTCTATCGATATTTAGTAAGATGCATCGTCGCGAAGAACGAAAGGAAAGGAAAGGAAAGCAAAGAAGAAAGAAAGCGTGCACGCATGCACGCAAGCTCGTAAGCTTTAGTGAAGAAAAAGAAAAGGAAAAGAAAAAAAAGAGAAAACAGTTATAAGGAATGGAGTAAACGTTTTCTAGTCCCTGATAGAATTTTTCCTTGTGTCCGTTCTTACTGCGCCCATCTTTCGAATACCTTCTCGTACATTCGCCACATTTCGACGCCTCCCTTCTCCTCTTATTTTCCTTTCTCTTTCATCTCTTAAAAAAGCGAATATTACGGGAATTGGGATTTAAGCTGATTTAAAATAGATGTTGCAGCGCACACACTCGTGAAACCGTTCCTCCCAACAGTGAGAGGAGGATAAACGTCGGCGTTGTACATAGTTGTATATAATGCGTATTTCGATTATATTTCCGATGAATTTATCAAGTGTATTTACAACTCTATCCGATCAATAAAACGCACCAGAAGCAGCGAAATCGTGTTCGCTTCCCATCAGCAGATCACTCTTCCTTCTCCTTCATGTCCGACAATCGTAGAATGCGTGTAAGTATCTTTTTACCCCACGCGAGGAGATTAAGTTCTCGCGCTCCGTTTTCCGCTTCCATTCCGGAAATCATTTAAAAGTGCAGGAGACCGCGACTGCACGGAGTTACATATTCCGTCAATGACAGGTACACACACTTCAGGTAGAGAAGGCTAGTTGCGAAGAAACGCGAGACAACCACTGTTCTCTTTAATATCTCACCGTGCTACACACACCCTCCACGAGTTATCGTTTGGAAACATAGAGAAGGCTAGTTGCGAAGAAACGCGAGACAACCACTGTTCTCTTTAATATCTCACCGTGCTCCCAGTGGAGACCCACTTTTCTCGGCTCCGAAACTAATACGACATCTAATGGTAGCGAAAAGAAAAGTAACGGGGTTATAAGCGTAGTCAACGGACACCGTACGTAGCCGCATCTCGGTTAACCGAGCAGAGAGGATCGAGAAATTGGCGGTTTGGAAGAACGAGTAGAAAATAATATAATAGTACACGTGGCGAAATAGGTCGCCGCGGCTCGAGTTTCACCCGATGCACGATTATCCTATTCCATCTGGATGATTTGCAAAAGTTCCGTAGGAAGATGGAAGATCGAGAGACGGAACCGGACGTTTCCCGAACCAGAAAGTAGTGTGGCCTCGAGTTACCTCCTGCCGAGCAAACCAGAAGCCAGGAAAGTGGCGCAACGGTTGACGGGGCACCGCGCGCACAGTTTCGTCTTTCACCGCAAAACCGAGCCGAGAGGAAGCAAAGCTTGAGTTCGTGCCTTTTAAAAATCAAACGAAACAACGCCCTGCTTTCGTAACGATACCTCTTTTTTCCCTATTTATTGATTCGTTTACACCGTAAGGCTTTAACCTTTAAGCCCGGGAAACTTGCGATCGATACCAATGTATACCGACTGTAGCTCGCAAACTTGGAAAATTCACGCACGCGTGCGTGCGCGCGCGCTCATCCCGTGAAACTTAATCTCGGATCAGAGCGTGGATTCGCGTTCAACCTATCGAATTCAAAGTCGACGACTCGAGGAAAGTCATCTTTTGCGAATTATTACGTCCAAGACCGATAAACCGAAAGAGTTTCGGTTCTTCTCCTCTCTTTCTTCGAGATTATGTATTTCGAAAAATAAGGTAGAACCTATTGAAGGTTTTAAGAGAGTTACTTTCCGTAATATGTACAGTAAATTCTCTACAAGAGTCAGTAAGTTTGGATTCTACAAGTGACAGTATAGATGGTCCTACGCCTAGGTCTGCGTCATTGCTGCGCCCATGTTATCTCGCCCGCAGTCAGTCAAGCGTGTAACGCTACACCAGTCGGTTTCCTTTACAAGATTTCACAGCTTGACAAATCATAATAGAAAAATATAATTTCTTTAATTTTACAGTTTTTCATCTGGAATTTTTTTTAACATGCTGCTGAGATTTTTCTGATGAAAATGACATAAAACACGACATAATTTGAACAACATTTACTTATTAACACGTTCACTGTCGCGCCAGATTTACAGGTTGCTGTCAGGCGGCGACAAGAAAATAAGATTATAGTATTATGCTTGATAATTTTTTTTTTTTCAATCGAAAATAATGCCTAGCACGCTATGACGTTCAAAATTTTTAGTTGACAACATTTATTTTATTTTAATTATTCGAAACATTTGAGGCACTCCAGTCACTGATGACCACCATGGCCATATCGAGGAAACAATCTAACGTTAAAACTTATTGAGTGATTAATTTAATTTCATAATATATCGCTTTAACGAGCCACCGTTTGGTTGCCAATTGTTTATCACACAGAGTCGGCCTAGCTCCACGTAAAAAAAAAAAATGTAGGGTCGATTCCACAAGTGTCAGTAAAATGTAGGGTCGATAGCAGCAGAAAAGCTGCTAAACAATTAGAATTAAATGTAACGATAGAAATTATTGCAACAATGCGTAATGCAATTGAAAAATCGCAGAAAAGTCTGATACAAATGTTTGAAAAGTAAAATATATAAGATGAGATACAGTATCTTACCACGTAATGTAACTTTTTATTGTGTAACATATTAAAAACACTGTTTGGGAAAAATTTGTCACAGAATTGCATTTCTTATTTAATCTTCCTTTACTGACTTTCCAAATCTGCTCACAATATACAATAATAAATCAACTAACTACTTAACATGCAATTCATGCAAATTCGTTGGATGGTAAATTATTAGTAAACAAAATTTAATATCAGAGAAAGTATGTGAAAAATACTGAAAGAAAAATTTCAAATTAATTTCAATTGCTGTAACAAAAGAGCAACCTCTCAAAGTCATTTCAATATCCTATTCGACAAGTCTGAAGAACAACGATGACTAAAATTCAAATGTTTATTTCCCTAAACCTTCAAAATAATTTCGAAATATTTTATTCGAAGCGGAGTATTCCAAGTCAGTATCGATAATTGAAGAAATTATTTGATTGTATTTAAAAGAACCGAAAGGAGAATATTTAAAGTCTGATATTAAATGTCTAGCAAGTACCAGTAATTGGTAAAATGATTTATATTTGTTTTAAAAGGAAAATTTCTAATAGGTATTAGTTAAAATGAATTATTATTCAGTCTATTGAATTTAAAGTCTAATAGATTCTAATGTATACAAGTGTTACAAGAAGGCTGAGTGTGTACAGGGTGGACACTGACTCTAGTATTTACTAAAATTCAAAAATTCTCGTATAAATTCCGAAAATAGATTATTAATTACGGTAAACTACTGAGACGGTTTAATTAAGGGTGGGCATGGTGCTGCTTTAGTTTGAAATGATTTATAAACACATAATTAACAGAGGAAAAACCGTGAAACGGCAAAACGTCTACATTCTAATTGTTATAACATGTAAACAGAACTTTAAATTTAGTGTAAACAGAAAAAATATATAATACAATTTATTTCACGGTATTGCAACAAATAAACGTTGAATCAATATTTAATTCGTATAAAAACAATTATTTAACGTAATAATTTTACCTTCACTATGGCTATTCTTAATCTACGACCACAGGTCAACCTGATTTCTAATCCTTACGAACTTTAAATTCAGTCTAAACTGAGAAAATATATAATACAATTTATTTCACGGTATTGCAACAAACAAACGTTGAATAGATTCTTAATTCGTATAGAAACATTTATTTAAAATAATAATTTCACCTTCACTATGGCTATTTTAAATTTACGACCAAGGGTCAACCTGATTTTTAATCCTCCGAACTTGATTTCACAACGAGAAAGTAATAAGATCGTTGAAACGTACTTATTTGTCAAAGAAACTTGCAAAAATGTATAAATAATAATATGTAATGTTTTAACAAATTTTTGGAAGTATAAATTAATAATAAAATTGTGAAAATTAATAAATTATACGTTATTATAACATTAATAGAATTATGACTAAACCGAAGTTCGAAGTCGAGTATTTAAAGTCTGATATTACGTGCCTAGCGAGTGCCGGTAATTGTTAAAATTTGTTTAATAATTAGTAATAGAAATTCTAATTGATTCTAATGTATACAAGTGTTACAAGAAGGCTGAGTGTGTACAGGGTGGACATAGACTAGCTAGTAGCCCCCGACCACTCTATTCACATCTCAGAACCTTCAGGTCAAAATACGCCGCGAAGTGTCTAGGGCCCAGTATAAAGGGTAAATGATTTCGCGGGACATCGGCGGGTCCTTATATACCTGCGGTACCCTCTCCCCAAAGTCATTAGCAAAATCGTCGGTTAGGTCAGGCGGGAAATTTTCGCGGGAGATTTTCGCGGGAGATTTCCGATATCGTAACACGGTATAATTTATCAATTTTCACAATTTTATTAAAAATTTATACTTCCGACAATTTGTTATAACATTGCATATAACAATTTATACGTTTTTACAATATTCTTCAATGGAAACATAGGTTTTAGCGTTCTCGTTACTTACTCGTGGTTAAATTAATTTCGTAGGGATTAAAAATCAGGTTGACCTGTGGTCGTAGATTAAAAATAACCATAGTACAGCTAAATTTATCGTGTTAAATAATTCTTCTTACACGAATGAAAAATGTATTCAACGTTTGCTTGTTACAATACCATGAAATAAATAATCACGAAGGAGTTTTCCAATTTGGAGGACGCGTTGCGCACAATGAACGAACCAGATCCTTGCTTACCGCTGATTCTACCACCAAGATATCGACTTCGTGATCTCATCTTGGGGGACTATGCCTTTAACGACGACGGAGAACGGTGAGTGAATTTTCCGATCCATATATTTTTCCACAAACGTGCGACATAATGAACGTGAACGTGTTCATATCGTGGTGTACGTGTATACTCGTAAAATTTCGCGAATAGGAAGGTGTTTATCTGATAAATATGTGCTTAGAGTTGAGGTGGGTGAGGAACGTCGTTACACTGTTTTCACCTCAATTTATTCAAGTATAAGTGTATTAGTAAACTTACTGACTCTTGTAGAGAATTTACTGTACTTTGTCCAGTTTGGTGGAGAATATCGTTTAAATGCAATGGAAGTTTACCTGTGTTTTTCTGAATTTCAAAAATTCAGGCAGAATTGTAATTTATCAATTTTCACAATTTTGTTATAAATTTATACTTCCGACAATTTGTTATAACATTGCATATAACAATTTATACGTTCTCACTATACAAACTCTATTTCTTCGAGAGAGAAAAATCATTTCGATAAGTACTAGTTGTACTTTGTCCAGTTTGGTGGAGAAAACGTATAATATAATTTATTTCATGGTATTGTTACAAGCAAACGTTGAATACATTTTTGATTCGTGTAAAAGGAATTATTTATCACGATAAATTTAGCTGTACTATGGTTATATTTAATCTACGACCACAGGTCAACTTGATTTTTAATCCCTACGAAATTAATTTAACCATGAGTAAGTAACGAGAACGTTAAAACCTATGTGTCCAGTGAAGAATATTGTAAAAACGTATAAATTGTTATATCCAATGTTATAACAAATTGTCGGAAGTATAAATTTATAACAAAATTGTGAAAATTGATAAATTATGCCGTGTTACGAGAACGGAAATCTCCCGCGAAAATCTCCCGCGAAAATTTCCCGCCTGACCTAACCGCGAAAATCTCCCGCGAAAATCTCCCGCGAAAATCTCCCGCGAAAATTTCCCGCCTGACCTAACCGACGATTTTGCTAATGACTTTGGGGAGAGGGTACCG